CCATGTCAGGGTAGTAAGAAATGAATTATAAACACTGTTTAGAAGAAAAACAAAAAGGAAGCTTCTGCTCTGCTTAAACTAATGAAAAACAAAGAGGAAGAGATCCTCAGTGCAGATGTAAGCTTAAAGCACCAATGTGAACAAAAAATAATAATAATACGGTGGGCAACAACGTTTTGGCAGTGCCTGCGTGCACGTTTCTGTCCGTCTGTTAGAAAAATAGTTAATGAACCACTGGACAAAATTTCTTGCAACTAGAAATTAACCACTGGGTGGTAATTTCCAACGGAAAAGCTTTGAAATCAATCCAATTCAAAATGGTTGCCACAGACACTTGACTGTAGAAAAAACAAAAATGGATATAACTCAGCTAATTTTAATGAAACAAACATTACAGTACTAACAGTAGTAGCTGAGAGTCATCATACTCCACAAATTGTGGAATAGTTTCACTTAAAACACTGGCATTATCTGTTGGTGGTAGGGTTGGGCAATATTGGGAAAAAAAGAATCCTGATTAATTGTGGTATTTAGCCGATAACGATTAATTTGACGATTATCCCTGGACACTCTCATGTCCTAGTCACATGACTAATTTAGTGGGAAAGATTTGCTCTTCGTAAAGATCTGTTCCAAACTGTGTTAAAATTACAGACTTCAGGCTATAAATCAAATTTTAAACTGTGTTGGTAGATAAATAAATTACAGGACTTTTTTTAATGTTCGTCATATTTGAAGTGGAGATGAGCACCGAGCGGACTGACTGGAGAACTCTCCAGTCAGTCCGCCTGGTAGMATTAATCGTATTAATCGTCAAGTCCCAAAAAATAATTGATGTTTTTCTGACGATTAATTGCACACGATACGATTATGCCCAACCCTAGTTGGTGGCAACCCTGTTTGTTAGCAAAACACCTCCTTGAAACACTTTCGGGATTTAATAAAACTTTCACAAAATATTTAAAGGCTTCTACAACTCTTGGAGTATGTTGAAATCAGACGCCACAGCTTATTAACATTTCCCTAACAAACATGTCYCCAGCTCAGTCACTGTGGTAGACACTGAGCAAAGATTTGGTGTGTTTGTAGCTCAAGGTCACCCTGAACACATATTCTCAGTACTAACACTTCTTGTATGACCTCACAAAAGATTGTACTTAACGTCGATTACAAGGTTTGACTAAAATGGCTTTAATTCAGTCCCTTTGCATCAGATGATCTTAGATTAAAACTCAAATCATCAAAGACAGTGGGCGACATGCATTCCTCCAGGAAATGCTACGTCTGTAATATCTTCATTGTTTTACTTGCAGTCTCACCAGTTGGCACAAACACCACTGCACACAGTRCTATGCGTCACCAGGCAATGTTTTCACAAGCATTGGTCTATGTGGTCCATGTTTTATTACACTAGATGCTACTTTCAAATGGCTATAACTGTAATCKGTATTCAGTAATGCAGACTACAGTTAGCACCACTCTTAAAATAAAAAATTAATCATAATGGCTGAAAATAAAATGGTTGAAAGCATCTTATTAGCTTGTGCTTTAAACACGACTGGCTTGTAMATTTCCTTCATGTTCTGGGAGCTATGCTTGTCTTTTGTCTGCTTATCTTTTGTTTTGTTAAAGACATCTAAAGGTGAACTGTTGTTCAACTTTAAAACTAAAAATATACTGTATATCTAATCATAGTAATTTTGTACCCTTTTTATTTGTGTAGTTGTTCTAGTTATAATGCCTGATTAGAGCATTTTGTTCATGCCAAGTTAATTTATGCCCAGAGAATAAAGGCAGTGGACACGTTAGCATGGTCACAACAAATCGCTGGTTGCATTGTTATCACCAGAAACCTAGAAATACTGCCTCTGATGACATTTACACAACACAGACCCTATTAGCCCTATAGGTTTAAAAGCAGGGTTCCTACAGCTTAAGGCAAGTTATATTTAAGACTTTTTAAGACCTCTTTAAAGCCACTTGAAATGAAATTTAAGACCCAATTCACAATAAATAAAAATGCGGGGGAAAAAAACAGGTTGGTGACAATTTTAACCAAATGTTTATTTTAACACAGAACAAATAGCTACGAGAAAAGTTCTGTAAATTATAGAAAAAAATAATATAAATGTTACCAATTATTTCAATATTTGAGACAATTTACAATCATCCTACTTAAGATGTGTTAACATTTTTAAGACCTCCGAAAGATCGATTTAAGACATTTTAAGGCTAATTAAGGCCATATTTTTGGATTGACAAATTCAATGCCTTTTAAGACTAAAATTTTAAAAATTTACAGGAATCCTGAAAAGGTATGAAACTATGCAACTATGGGAGTTGTATTCAATTTAATAATAATGGAGAAATGCTCCTTTTTTATTTTGCAAACACGTTGACTTCTGATAAAGTCCAAGTTAAAAAATGTGATGAGCACACTTTCAAAAACATCAGACATATCAACTCACCTTTCTACCTATGAGATTTGTCATTGAATTAAACACCAAGTTGGCCTGTTCTGGGTGTAAATATCAACTGGACAACAACATGTATTTGTGCAGAACAATAAACAACAACTTTCTGCTAATTAGAAGGGAATGTTTTCCTTTAGTATTAAAGCAAATACACTTTACCCTGTGTTGGTGGAAGAATTGTGGTGACATGGCATAGCTCGTTAGTGGACCATCACAGCTGAGCTGGGTGTTGTGTGGGGAACCACATCATATGTTAAAATATGTTGCATTTGCATTCTGTGTGTGTTTTGTTTGTTGTGAGAGAGATGAAAAATGTAGTCAAGGACAAATGTGGGTGAAGACCATCTTTAATGCCTGTCCAAACACACACACCTCATCATACACAAAYGGAGCAATGCAAGGCCGATCAAAATTCCTACCCGTTGTCATAAATGTCTACAGATAATCAGAAAATTGAACAAGGCTTGTTGTTGACCTCACATTCTGATTAAAATGTTGCAGTTTTCTTCTTGTCAGGAAGGCCACAGCTGCAATTCTAATGCAGCCAGCTAATAATGAAAGCAARAAACTTTATTTTATATTTAAACACAGTTTAGTCAGAACGATAAGGGGTGTCACGTCATMGGAACGGACAATGTCACACATTATTCGCTGGTTCTCAGGTTGCAACACTTGTCTCTGGTTCACTTCTCTTTCTCTGTAGCCCAGGCCTTCGACCGCAACATTCGGATGCCAGATCACCATGGTGACACCCTCAGTAGCACACTGAACCCCGTGAACACCCCCCCCCACCCCACACCAAACACACACACATACACACACCCTTAACCACTCTTGAGATGCACCCCCCTGCTGCCTAGCAACAGTGGTGCCGTTGAATTTCCTGTATGTTCGGGTTGATTCCTTAAAGAGGAACTTTACCCAAAGAACAGGAACGCAGCTCTCCCTCCTGCATCTGCTCTCTGCTCCATATTAAGAAGAGTGTCAAACACCAGGCAAGGCAGAACTGTTGACACGACTCTGGGCACTATATCATGTACTTATAGCTAAAACTAATCTCATGGGAAGCGCTCTACAATATCAAAGTAAATTCATGAAGACACCTTATTTACCTATTGAGTAATTCTTAAATAAATATAAAAAAACACCAGTACTATTCTGGTAAAACAACACTGCATTAAATAGTTTTCAGGCTTTTATTTGAAGTGTTTGCATGTAAATCTAGTTTTATTGTACAAGCTTAGAACATGCTTTTMTACGTGCCATGTATTGCATAAAAGCATGTGCTTTGTGTTGACATTAGTGTTTGTTAAAACAAATTRTAGCGCTCGTAACAAAATGGTCGCACTGGATCACATTYRAGGAGGTTCTATAGAACAGCTGGAGTGCGCAGAAACCACGTGACCATGTGATCGGCTGGTGAAGCTAAYGGCTAACGCAAAACGGTCAAAATTAAATTAAKCTTATAAAGTCGACGTAATCAGTTATTTATTGAACTGGTTAGCAGATATTAGCTTGTGGACCATATACAGAGTTTAGCACTGTTGAATCATGCTACAATTTAACACAAACTATTAAATATTACGTTTTCCTCTGATTAATATTTAGACCTACAGAGTGTAAAATATTATAAATGTGAGTATTTTTAGGTTTCTGTTAGAGGAACTTGACTTGTTAAGAAGATGTTAGCTAATAGACAAGTTTCATCCTATAACCAGAGAACATTTTCTAACTGTTTGACTGGTAAATATAAATATTCTTATTTTTTATGACAGTAAGAAGAAATAATAAATATACTTTATTACTAGCTGAAGTCATCATTTCTCAACTAGCTAAAGTCTAAGTTGCAGGCTGACYTCAGGTCTGGTTTAGATCATTGTTACTTATAAATTATATATTTTTCTGGTATATATCTGCTGTTTTACATGATTGTTGAATGAAATTAACATAATTATTAATTTATTGTAAAAACATGACCGATAATCTGTGAAACAGATCTGGTTCAGCTTGCTGTTTATCTATTAGTTTCTATAGTGGGTGTAAGCTGTTGCCCTGTTTGGATGCCATTTTTGCTCCTCCATGCTGTCACAGATGCTGCCAGTGGACAGTATGGGCGGGGCTCAGTCTAGTGATCTATATTCAAGTCTATGATCACATTACAGAGTGCGGCCATTTTCTTGTCACAAAAAATGCCATTCAAGATGCGCCCATCGTTCTGCAAATCTGTCCTTTCTCATACTCTACAATGGTAAGTGGAGCAGCTGACTAATATGACTGGTATCTTAAACAAACTAACATAGGTGTGTTGGTTTGAACTACATACTTGCTGCCTTACTTTGCTGAAGAGTGGCATTTAGAACCACTTATATCGACAGTTAACACCTGACCATTTTCCTTGTGTTGAAAAACACAAACCAAAGTACCACAAATACCTAAAATTTACACTATCCTAAGCTTCAAAGCAATCAAAACTGGCACATCCTGGTACACAAACATCCAGAATCGCTCTACTTTGATCTCACTCACCGGTAGTCCATCCTCGGTAGTATCTCCCTCACCGAACGAATGACATCCTGGAACATAAAAGGAAGGCARGAGTGAAAAATGTTTTCTTGATTTGCCCATCACTAAAATCATTTCTCCTTTGCTAMGCATGCTAGAGTTTTTCATCTCTGATTAGTGTCAGATGCACTCAGCTAAGACAGTGTAAGCCTAACTTCAGTTAAAATACCATGTGTTAAGTTTACTTCTAGCAAAGTTATTCCTTGAACTTGTTCATTCCTCAGTTCACTGTAAATTAATGCTACGTTCAATGTACCTTAAAAGTGGGATGTTGGAAGTAAAAAAATAGGTCCACATTTTGAGAAACAAAGGAGCTTCTGTTTAATGAGTAAGCTGCATTTTGGGAAAACTTTATCTGAGTCATCGACTAGGAWATCTGACTTCCTGTCTAGTTTTTTTGTTGTTGTTCTTGTTGTTGTTTTGGTCAGAAATCAAAAACTTGTAACTCCCAGTTGTTGGTGAAAGCAGTTTAATAGCAGAGAYTTCAATCGACATTAAGTAGTCTTCAGGAAAAGCAATAATTTACTTATTGTTGATACACAGCCATGTCTACACCTTTGCACAGCCTCATAGGGCTTGAGGTGAAAGTCCACTTTCTGTAAATCTATGCATGTGTGTACGATAGCAACAAGACCTGATCGTAGTTTTTTAAAATCTTTATACCTGAACTTTGCTGATGACTGCTGTCAGCACATGCTCTTCCCAAACTTTGCAAACCCAAATATAGMTGTGTTTCCATTGCAAATGTGTGCAAAACTTTGTTGATATTCTGTTGATGTAAAAAAACAACAACACAGTTTCGCAATTGGTGTTTCCATTAAGTAAGAAATGCTATTAAAGTCACGCATGAATATGTTTGTTCTTGCGATAAGTCACTACAAACATGGCGGCAATGAATGTAAACACATGCATAATTGCTACCACGACACTAGTGCTCATCATCAGCCATCAGAGGAGACATCGGCGTCTTATCGAGGCTTTCGAGTGCCAAGCCCCTTATACTTGGGAGGGGCTACGTGTGCTGTGTTTTTGGGAAATTGTAGTCGGTGAGTTTACTACTTTCTTTTACAACTTCAGAGATTTTACCACCACTTCTACTTCCTGTTGTCTTCTTCTTTGTCTTTTCGCCAGTAGAAACATCCGGTTCTTGATCATGTGACTCCCATGATGAGGAAAAAGTGTTTCCATTGCAGTTCTGCGAAATACACCAATTTCGATACGGCCGAAAAACCACYTCATCCTARCGCAAAAAACATTTTGTCGAAAAACTAAGTCTTTTCGAAACTGACGTGTTTCCATTGAGCAAATTTATTTTCGAAATTCTAATTTGCGCATTTTCATGGTCAATGGAAACGCAGCTAGTGACATAAAAAGAGGAAAGTAGAGGCCTGACAAACTCACATACATTCTACGGGTTGTAAGATGGAACTGTGAGAATTCCACAAGGATGTGATGGCTTTAAGTGGAACTTTTAAACTTTAGTTAATGTGATTAAAATCGTTTCGTTAGAGGCCTCCGTTAAAGCACAGCGTCAGTCTCCTTGTCTGTATTCCGCAGGAGAACACAACAATCTGTCCCAGTGAAGAGAGAGGATTTCACTGGGCTAGTGTTAGACGCAGTCCGTCTGTCAGTCTCTGAATCACGTAGAGAAAAGAACGGTGAGTGTCAATACTTTCCCCCAGCCCMGAGAGAAAAGAGGCCTCCTGCAGCACGACTCTGGCAGTGCCGGGCCGCAACGCTGCCTGAGCCGTGTCCCCGCCGTTGCCACGGCAACAGGAGACTGCAAGACTGATATGCACACGTGCGTGCACACATGCGCGGGCAAAAAACATATTCTCTCTCGCTGCCTCTTCTCCCACACACACACACTCACGCAGCAGCCCAGGAGCACAACGATGCAACAGGAATACAGACGAACTCGCCCGCCTTCGCCGAGGAGAGGCATTACACAACACTGACAGAACACAGAGGGGGCTGAGCGAGAGAGGAAAACTGACAAAGGCAAGGATGGGAGGGATAAAAAAGAGGGGAATAAGAAGCGCAGATGCTGGGGAGGCAAAACCTATCACCTCATGTTGCTAAAATGCACAAAAGAAGATTTGGAGATGTTTTTTTTTTCTTAAGCAGATTAAAACATTTTAGTTTCTGCGAGGTCATTAGGATGTGGATTATCGCACTACTAGACACTATGTTCTTTTATTTGAACAATATGTCATTATTACTGCATTACAGATTATTGTTATTGGCACGAAAGCAGAGTGAGCTACATTACAGGATGGTTACAAAAAGTGTTCTCATCATAAAACTTTTTTCTTTGTTCCTGCTTTTCGTGTTTAGTTTACAGGAAATGCAGCTTTCCACGCCAGTTTTGCAGTAAAATCACCTCTTACCTAGACACYGCCTGGACTTATGCCCTGAAGTTCAAAACTCTGAAAAGCAGTTGTGGGCAAGAAGAGACCGATGCCCAGCTGTGATAAGCCTTTATGATGTGCTTCGCTGTACCTCCTTTATGCTTCCTATGGTTCTCAGGTCTACACAGTAAAGAAAGATTATTGTCTCCCAGCCAGCCAACTCAYGTCTTGTGTAACATGGAGCTGGGTGGTAGATTGCTGAGTTAGCAAGCCATCGACTAATTGGATGACTTTGCAACCTCTGGCTCTGTGCAGAAAAAAACATTGCTTATCAGGACCCAAAGATGCATTTTAATTCYACGCAACAACAAAATCCAGTAAGGCCGGCGTCACACTACAAGAAAATCATGACGATTTTTGCCCTTCYGACAATCTTAAGGAAGTCCAGATTATCGTGATGGCTCTAAAGATAATCATAGCAGATATTCCTGCCATGGGTGGTGAGTTAAGAGTGATCTAGTCGGCTCGGAAGGACGTCGGGACTGCTCCGACCTCAAACCGGGGATATTCAACATGTTTGATTTTTTTGGCCCGATATCACAGTGTGTGTAGTGTTCAACCGAGCTCTCAGCCTGAAGAACGAGACGTGTAGCCAATCAGAAAGCGAGGTGAAGTAAACATGGAGGGGATTCCAAAATACAGAAGACAAAAAAAAATAAATAAACTGTCATGACTCACCAGGAAGTCTGCTGAATGTTAAAAGTCCAGAATTGTTTTTCCTCTGGTAAAAAAAAGTCCACAAATGATCCCTGAACTCACGTCTCTCTGGAGGTCACGTGAGATTTTTCCTCAGACATCTGAATTCTTGCAAGATTTTAGGAAGTCTCGCGTGATTTAATATCTGACATCTGAATGTTCATGAATGAAATATATTTTCGTGTGTGGTGTGTTGTCTCTTGCCGTGTGGCTGTACACCACACACTGTAGGACCAAACCTGGTATATCCATGATTTTCTATCCTCACGTGTGGGCTCTCTCAGTCTTTAAAAATCGGCTGACTGTTTTAAAATCTTGTAGTGTGTCTCAGCCTTAAAGTTCTAATATCAATCTCAATATATATATATATATATATATATGTAAGCCACATCTTAAACTCTCAGTCCAAAGCTTTCTTTTTTAGAACCAGTCTAGCCTGTTCTCAAATGTACCAACTTCGAGCTACTAAAACCAACAAAACCTCAACCTGGTGACTTTTTCTTAACTACACCTCAGCCCCTATGTTAGGTTGTCACCTGTTCTGAGTTTCACATTTTGTACCTCCCCCTCCATTCCAACCCTCTATTGTCTTATATATTGCACTCTCTGGGCAAAGTGTTAAACAACCAGTCTCTACAGGAAGTGTTGAGATTATCTGAGCAGCTGGGACTGATAAGGTATCACAATAGGGGTCATGATTGGGTTCAGTGAACAAGTAGCAGTGATTGACTCATCAACACTAATCAAAGCTTTGCGTCTCTTCCACAACAGAGGCCAGGTCAGCTATTACGAGACAGAGATAAATAACCAGAAACAATAACCTAAAAAATATGTTTTTAGCACATTTATAGACATTCACCCAACATATTTTACATAATAGTATTTCTAACCTAAAGTACATTTTGCAGACTTACAACTGACTTATCTGGTTTGACCTGCAAAACAAAAACACATGCAGACACCATAGTAACACACCCACACCTTGTTTAATATCCTCGATGGCCCGGCGTATGCCCCTGTCAAAGGCTCGAGCGTCAGCAGGGCTCTGGAACGTCAGGCCAAACTTCTTGTCATTGATTCTCCAGTGGTGGAAGATGGGATTGACCTTATTGTACACGAGGTCTCTCGACAGAACACACTCCAGTACCACCTGAGAACACACACAGTTTAAGAGTCAACAACACGATGTCAGATTAGAAATGCTAAACTCTATAGCTTAATGGTTTGAAGATTACATTTAAACCTGCATTTGCTTCTTCATCCAACTTCCTGATCTGTTTTAATGTGTCACATCTGCTCCAATGTAATATGGCAAAAAAGAGGAATAGAGAGAGACTATTTTTAGCATCAGGGATTACATAATTAAGTCCAGGATTTCATGCACACCATACATCTGATAATTTCCTATCACTTTTAGAGTAACTTGTGTAACAATCTTAATGGTGGGGTTTTCAATACGAAGCATTGAAGAGCAGTGGTGGCAAGAAGTTGCTGCTGTGTAGGGACGTTTTTGAAGCCAGGAAGCCCAGGAGTAGGATGAAGACAGGCTGTGCTTCGAAAACCTTTTATTACTCAGGGCTACTGGGCCACCTCCTGGCCTTCCTCTGGGCAGATTAAATAAAATGAGACACAGCCATTACAGTTGGTGAGATTTTGTCTGACATGCACGAGAGGTGGCCTAACAGGGTGTGAATGTGAGAGTGTGCTCACGGTGATCTGATGTGAGACTRCGTAAGCAAAGGGGCTGGTGTGATAAAAAAATACTCATTGATCCAAGTGCTTTACTGTTCATCTTCACATTTCAAAACTCATATTGAAGAATCACAGCCACAAATTCAAGCCCTAGTGTTCCTTAAAGGAATGCATATCATCCACTTCCTGTTATGTCAGAGTTTTGAACTAAGAACATTTTATAATAAGAAGGGATGGTGTTTTGGTAGAATCTTTCATATGACATCATGCACAATCTCACAAAATTTTGAGGCGCGGTGTCTAGAAGTTAGGGCTGCACAATATCAGGAAAACCTGCGATGTGCGATAACAGTGCTTAATACTGCGATGATGATACGACTTGTGATAAATGAACGGTGTTGTATGCAGTGTTGATGTCCAACAGCAAATTCTCTCATTGCAGTGGCCCAACATTTTCTCCACTCACAAGTGGTTAWGATTTGATGTGGTATCTCAGGTCCATTTTGTTTATTCAACTGATCAGGATTCAACAAATCCTACTGCCCGACTGCCCGGGGCAGGTAAAACTCATATTCAGGAAGGTGGGAAGGTGGGTGTGTCCCAATGCCTGCCCAACCGGGTTCTTTTATTTTTTTATAGGGCCATTCATTCGAAATATTCAGAAAAAAAATGAAGAAACATAGTGTTTTAAAAACACGTATAGAAAGAATAAAGCCTCAAAATTTCCCCTTCACTCTGTACCCTTTTAATTCAGGGTAGGATTTACTTTTTTTATGGTGTACATACAGTAGATTGTTTTGTTTTTATAAATGAAAGAAACAAACAAATAAATAGACATCTCTTAATATATTTTGATAACTCAAAATACCTATTTAAGATATCTCTWATTATTTTCTGACTAGTATAAATAACGTCAGATTTATCATTAAGTTGTAGGGAGACTCCAGTTTAAGATATCTTAAATGTATCTTTAAGTATGAGATAGACTATATAAGATTCAATGAATGCAAATTGCAGATTTTCATGTTCTGTAAATTGCATTTAAAACAAAGCTTCTGCTGTTGATTATTCTGTTTTTATWAGCAGCCCTCACAAGGCRTGTACTCAAGGGGAAACACTGAAAAGGTCTAAAAAAGGTTTTGAAGATGTTTTTGATAAAACAATTGACTGACTGTTAGTGATTCAGTCTGCAATGTTTGATCTGCTAAATCAGATGTCAGATACTGTATGTACCTCTGTAACCATGTTGTTTTTTGTAGTACAAATACAGTACATATTTTTCTTATATTTTATTAAATTTTGAACATTTTTGTTTCGGGAAAGTAACCTTTCAAGTCGGGCAGGTAAAAAAAAAATCTTGTCGAACCTGCAACTGATCTTGTCGAACCTGCAACTGATGCTGACAAAAAACATAAATGCAAAYATTTGAGCCAACCATTTATAGCAGTTTATTTTACGATATTCCTATTGCACAGGCTGTTGTTGTGATGACAATAAATTTGCAATATATTGTGCAGCGCTAATAGAGGTGAGAAATTTCACTAACAAACAGCGTTGACACAAATATTTAATGCTAAGRTTCAAATTTTGTTTAATGTGACTTGAGATGACTCCCAACTATTGCCACTCATTATTTTATCTCAATATCTGCCAAACTGGCTGACTTGTAGTATTTTTTTGTGTGTTTTGACTGTGGTAGCAATCTTAAATTGCATTGTCGACTCCAAAATGTCTACAATAATTAATGTGTTGAATGCAGGCTCTATCACAGAGGTGTCAATATGTTTTAGTAAGCTGCTTTGAAGTCTGAATCTAAATGTACCATAACCTACAACATCCGTCCCCCATGTTACTACTGCATACCTGTCTTAAGGAAGAAACAAAGGGGCAAGGGTTACGCTTGTGTGTTTACCCAAAGCTGGAGCATAAAGGAAGGGAAAACRAGAGGAATGGATGTGAGAGGATGGGGTGACAAAGACAAGGCAGGAGGGAGGAGTCCATAGTGCCTCTGGGGGTGGCTGTGGAGGCGAGACTGAATGGAGCCAGAGCAGGTAAGGTGAGCGTGCAGCAAGGCTTGACAGAGGAAGAAGTATCATAGTTGCATGGCAGGATGACACTTAACACCGCATTCCACAATGTGCTCAAAGAAAAGAAAGGAGGAGGAGGAGCCACCTTTCCAAAAAAGAAAAAGAACACGGGCAGGAAATGTTGAAGGAGAAAGACAAAAGACATCTGAATGTGAGACATGCAGAGAGAAATAAGAACATATTGTGAGAGCATTGTGCAAAAAAATAAAAAACTAATTACCTTCTCTATACTGCACTGTGTATAAGATGACTTTACTTACAGAAATGTTGCCTGAGTGGTACTTCAGGACATTTCTATAACACACAAGGTTAACTGCTGCAAGGTAAAGCCATTCAGAATGAGCCTTGGCAACAACAACACATTCACAGATGTATCAACCAGAGTGACTCGACAACTCCTAATGAAAGAAAGGGAGGTGGAGAGGCAGGGAGATTAGCCAGAGATTTGTCATAATCCAAGAGCTGGTATGGTAAGTTATCATTGACCAAAAAACCAGTGAGAGAAAGAGAGACTAGAAGGAGGAGGGGAGCAAGTAGGAGAGTGATTGGTGGCTATATGAAGAGCCAGCTGAGTCATCACCAGCACACTCTGCGCCGCATCACTGCGCTTATAGACCAAACCCCTCCACCTCTTTCCCTCTGTCTCTCGTCTTATTGGCTCCACCTCCGTTTCCTGCTCTTTGAATACAAAGTACCCTTTCCTGAATTTTGCTCATATATGCATCACAATCACATGATTCCTGACTTACAAAATCATGCCTTTTTGCTTTTGAAGTAACTATGTTTTTGTTGTTTTCTTCTGTCTAGATCAGCTAGCTGTCATCACTGAGAGAATTATCTTGCTTTTTTATATTCAGACTATTTCTAACTGGAAAAAAATTACACCATTTACAATGAAAAAAAGTGTATGTAAATATGGTACACTATGTTCTTATTCTAGGGTTTTGACAAGCCAAAGCTTACAGACTTTTAAACATTAAAAAAATGCTCTATGGCCTGTTCCCCCCCACCCTAAAATAATGTTTACCACTTAGATCTAAATACAGGTGTTACCGTTTAAAAAAATTGTGTCAACAGAGGTGCCTCTGGTTGTTTTAAACGAAGATGGGTGTTTTTCATGTGGCTTTGTTGTTAGTGTTTCCTTGAAATCATCACTTTGCTTCTTTTCCTGATGCCCTCAGACAGTCGGTAGCGCTGTGGTTGACGCCAACACCCTGGCACTGGGTGGCATTCTGACAGACCTACATATGGCTGGGTGTTTGTTGTGGTGGCTGGGGACTCTGGCGGTGATAGGGGTGTTTCACCACATCCCATAACAGTTGCCAAGGCCTCTGAACCATGTCTTTGCCATGTATGAACAACAACATTCTCGTCACGCCACTCCCCCTGTGCCACACGCACGCTTGGGTAGCAACACACATACACACACACACACACAAAAAAAAAAAAACGCATTGTGGACACAAAACACATAAAATAAGTTCCGTCAAAGAAGATTATAAAAACATGACTCAGACGCCTTTGTAACAATTCTGTAATGTTCGACTGTCTGGAATCACCAGAATCTGTGCATCATGGTGGCCTCCTTTGCCTTCTGGCATGCAACATTTCACATGCAAAAAAGATTTACGCCCTCCTTACCACAGACACAAGATTATCAAATCAAATCCTGTCAATCTGTCTTGAATCCAAAACACAAAGTGAATGTGCGACAAAAAGTTCATGGCTTTACAGCATTAACTTCAAATCGCATGAGTAATAAAGCTTACAAATTTCTTTGCGAGATCATCGTTACTTTGATTGTTAACAGACAAAATAAACATGTCGTTTGTAGGTATTACTTCCAGATTTCATCCCTCAAATCCCTTCCATGCTCTTTGTATTCCTCATCCACATTCTCTCCTGAAGTAATCTGCCCTACTCCCTGATGACGTCAGCATGCATCACACCATCACGCAGTTTGCTCCTATTTTCAGATACCTGAGTTATGAATGAAGCTTAAAGAAAGAAATATATCCACTTCCTGTATGTGTCAGCAAGTGTGAGTAAAATGAGAAACAGAGGGGAGTCTGGGAAAGTGGGACTCATAGTGGCTGTGTCCAAATTCAGGGGCTGCAGCCATCGAAGAACCTGGCCTACCCAGTCTAGGTTGGCCGGGTCCTTTGTAAACTGTGAAGACCAGAAGAAAGTGGCTGAGTTTGGATGGTCTAGCCTTCAGCTTTATTCCTGCTCTTACCCTGGCGTATGTCCTGTCGCCTAGCAACCATGACGATGCTAAACAGAAGCATAAATAGATCGAAAGTAGCAAATTATTAATACATTTAGGGCTGCAACTAACGATTATTTTAAAAATCGATTAATCTGTCGATTACTTTTTCGATTAATCGACCAAATCATTAAAACGCTTGATTACATGAATATGAGTATTTATTTCATTCCTGTATAAATTAGGGATGCAAGTTATTGATTAAATTATTAATATGAAGTTGATTTATCTTATAGATTGACAAACAATTGATAAGCAGCCATTTTCTTAAAAACTGGAGTTTTCTCTTGAATCAAGAGGGTCTTTCCATAAATGAAGGATTTTTTTTATAATCTCCTGAATTAAAAAAACAGAAGCACATCATAACTATTATAACAATTTATTTTGCCAGTTGTATTAAATACCGACTGAAAAAAAAAAGTGTATTTCTCATACATGAAACAGAAATTTAATAGGTTGCTGAATGAGGAAAATAGAATAAAATATGATTTTAGATGTAAAACTATTATCAGTTTACTATAATTAGAATATATTTACATTTAAGATTTATAATTTTTCTCTAATTCTTTACTATTTGCTTCATTCTTGTTGGTTCTGTCTGACTTCGACCCAGTATAGTGGTTCTGAAGCAGACCCCCCCTCCCCCTTCTCTGCTGAGGCAGACCTGCTGCTCATGTCTTTTTTTTTTTTATTCCTTCGTCTGGAACCTTTTTGCTGCTCAACAAATAACTTTGAGCCTCAGTCAAAAAAAACTGGAGGGTTTTTATACTTTTGGCCCGAGAGGAGGACTAAACAAACAGTGGATTTATGTCACATGGCTATCGTTGACACCTAATTAACACTATTGTGTGTTAATAGGGGGTGGAGTGACACTGGCAATAGCAGCACTGTAGGAGGGGTCCACAGCGTCCAGAAGACCTATACAATTTTTTTTCTTTTTGATTTTTTACCTGGATTACTGAGATGCATCAGGACATTAATTTAAAACCATTTATTTCTCTTGCTTCATCCGCCATTGCAAGCAAAAAAATATATAAATAAATCTCCGGTCAAACTGCAATGCATAGTGGGTCGAGAAGGATCCCACAGACCCGTCCCTCAAATCAGGGGAAAAGGAGGACACATTTGTGGTCCACAATTGGAGGAGCCTTCAAATTTGGAAAGCGTTCGGCGCGGCACAGTGACGTTTTAAGCAGATGACAAATTCGGGCTTCGGAGGATGCAGCCCCTGAATTTGGACCCAGCTGCTGACTCTTTAAAAGAGCAAAACCATTTCCTCTGTGCAAATGAATGTGCACTGAAGGGGATGTCTACACAGAGAGTAAACACATTAACCACCATGCTAAATGTGTGTCATTAAAATGACAGATGTCGTGTATGACAGGTTCTACACAGTTTTAGGGTTTGTGGTTCTCTTACCATTTTGTCTTTCAACCTTTCACCCTTGATGTGGAACTCCACAGCGGTGGGACTGGGACTAGGACTGGGGCTGGGACTCGGGCTACCAGGGCTGAGGTTGCTGCCACTTCCTCCACTGTGGATGCTGCTGCTGTCCTCTGACCGGCTGACCTTGTAGACAGTGACACAGCTAAGGCCTCCACCTCCCAAGGGTAGCCACCCACCGCTGGAGTCATCCCGGGTCATGACCACTGCTCTCACACGTGCATAACTGTCACTGTAAAGAAGGAAGATTGACAAAAGGGGTAGATGAAGAAAAAGAAATCCTGTTTAGGTTACAAACAACACAACAATCATTTACTATTCCTCATAGGAACTTTACACAGCAGTCCTGGCTAACATTTCTGATAATATATGGATCAGAACATAAAGATCTCATACTGTTCAAATGTGGACTTTGGTGTTGAAGTTTATTTTATTTATTTTTTTCATTTAATTTTTTGTTCAAATATCCAGATTTTTTAAAAAGATTATTTTAGTCAATATGTTTTTAATTTTTTAATGCATCAGTAAGATAATAATACCTAACCATTACATAAAGCCTAATGTGTATTTTTGTGTTGACTTGTACATTACTATCTATCTATCTATCTATCTATCTATCTA